TTTTTTTTTGCGGGAGAAAAACAGAATCCCTCTCTATTAGACAGAATGATGTATATACCTGTATATAAAATTTATTTATATTAATCAACTGTGATTGTCGAGTGCCTTGTATGTTCTGAACAATGTACTGTAGTGTGCTTTCTTCTAGTGCACGCCCCTTTGTGGTTTGGCTTTTGGATGTATGCGCATATTCTGCAATTCAAATTTTACAATTCTGCACAAGCAAAACCCCTGTATAAATAAAATATTTTTGGGGAAAAAGGTAGTGTGCTACTTGCATTATCCAAAGAAACACAAAAATCCATGAAGTGTTTAGAAAGGCCTTAAAAACGTTACTTTTTTTTTGGACTGACATAAGAACGCAGTCCCTACACAGCATTAATAGAAAGCAACACGCAAGAAATTCACTCAACTGCTTTTATTGTCATTCAAAGGAAACGTTCTAAAAACAATATTATCTATACAGCACAGCATCAACTGTGGACAATGGTTTGAAGTATTTAATTTAAAAAAAATTAACCAAGAGTTGATCAATCAAGTGCCTTTACCGATTTAAAACAAATGTGATGCAAGCTGCAAAACTCCCTAATTAGGTCAGACCAATGCCTGTTTCTGAAAACCTCCAGCCATCTATAAATAAAGTGGACTGAAAACATGAGTTTCAGCAAAACTATACCCCTCAGATGGACAGACAGTAAACAAGTTATGTACAAAGTCCACTAGCATATTTACACACCAGAAACTTCAAAAGATACGAGGAATAACCCATAAACTGCCACCACTAATTTATGGTAGATGATTACTTAAATGTCAATACAGTATTTGAATTAAAATAGTATTTACTTTCCTCTGCAAATATATATTAAAACTATTTAAGACATGAAATACACAGTATGGCTGAATTTGGAAAACCAAAACTTACAGCACATCCTTAAAAACCAAAAACCGTTAATGCTGTTTTTCATAATTCAACTCATAATTATAACTCATAATGATCACAATCATGGGCACAACAAATGTTTGCATTCACAGATGATGTACCTGTCCATTTGTTCTGCTATAGAACTTGAATAAATCCTCAATTTAAAATCAAAACTAACTTTGATCAAAACCTAAAAAAAAAAATAAAGGACAAATTATAAATGTTTTACAAAGCTGTACACAGTTGTCCTCAATAAATCCAGCCAAGTGCTGTTTAAAGTGAAGTATGCATGTTACATTAAAAAAAAAATCCACATCAGACTGTGACACTATTTACACTAATCTCATACAGCAAAATGCAAGCCTGCATGCCTCCCGATCACTCCGCCCCCTGGTGGTGAAGAGGCAGAGGCGCGGGCTCATGTCTATAGTGTGTTGTCGTCTTTGCTGAAGGGCTGTGTGGATCCTGGCTTCACCCAGGAGAGGCCCGACACCTGCAGCCCCTTGTGGTGATCCTCAGGCCGTCTCTAGGCAACAGCAGAATGTCACACAACAGACCTAACCACTCCACTCCTGGGTGACAGCGAATGAAATCAACTTGTCTTATGGGAGCATTATCTTTACTTATTTTCCTTGCATTTAACACTGCCAGCAACCCTCCTCTCTACAGCGGCCAGCATACAGAAGAAACCCATGAGACTATTACCCTCCTTTGAGGTAAACTGATCCCTGGAATGGGTCAAATTCAAACAAGTTCCGAGAAGCCAGCTTTACGATACACCTGCACTAAAAATGCATCCAAATCGAGCAGAGAACAAATTTCAAGTACTCACTTTGTGCATGAACATCCTCCCTCGCACCTCTTCGTGCACAGAGGGGTTCCATGGGGAGAAGCTGTACCAACAAAGGGGTTTTTAATCGAAACGAGGGCAAACAGTAAAATGACACATGACAAATCCCACACATTTGGCATCTATCTTTTACAAACGGGCTCAAGTTAAGATAAAAAACAGCAATTTCACCCATTATTTAAAAATATTAAACCCGACTAGATGAAGATGGAAATTCACCCCTCCGCAAGACTTGGATGATGCAGTTTTAACGGTTTTCAAATGCTGGAGTATACTGAAGCATTTTTTATACGAGAAAGGAAATTGAGATATAAGCTCAATAGATCCTGATGGAAAAAAGAAACGCAACATTTTCTGGAATGAGAATACTAGTTATAGCTTATGTACTTTCACAAAAAGTTGTCAATTTGTTTTAAGCCCTCTGACGAGCAATACAGCTTGTGAAGTGAGGCACTGCAACTTGCCAATCACACAAAAGCTTGTTAGGTGCACTTTTACCCAATGAGGTCCAGGTGGAACAAAGGCTGATCAGGTCACCTTTAAAAAGGCCTTAATTCAAAGCTTAGGTCACTGCAAGAAAAAGGCCACACTTCGTCACTTTTCTGTGCATTCCATAGTGCCTCGAATGTCACCAGAAGCAAGGGAGAGGGGCATTGACATGCATGTCGTGTGCCAGCGCTGCCAGACACTACGCAGTAAGACGCTCCACTGTGTCCTGACTGCAGAGAACGTTTCACCAGACCAGCGGGACAGATCCGGTCGCCCTTGAGTGACCACACCAGAACAGGACCAACGCATGAGACAGGTCCATCTGAGAGATCGTTTCAGATCTGCCAGCTGTACTGCTGCTGAAACTGCCGGCAGACACAGTGCCTGCATCAGTGACAGGGCAGTGAGGCTCCATGCTGCTGGCCTTAGAGCAAGGCGGCCTGTCAGAGGCCCTCTGCTCACACCTCCTAGACATCACACCCGACTGGCTTGGGCCAGACAGAGGCTGCGATGGACTCGTCAGCAGTGGCACCAGGTCCACTTCATGGATGAGTCACTCTTGAGCCTGTTCCATGCAGACGGGAGGGGAGGAGCTGTTGCATTTCTTCCCTCCCCCCATCAGTATAAATGAATACATAAAAAATTGGCAAAGTAGCAAAATTTGGTGTAGTGCATACTACTAGAAATTCTACAGAACCACCAATTTATGTTAAAGTTTGCTTTACAAACACTTGTTCTATTAGAGAAGGATATCCCAGATTTATGCCCCTGGAGGCTGATTAAATCCAGAGCTAAAATCTACAGCTTTCGGAACAAAAAAGAAGCACCGTTTACTGACCTTATTGCAAACGGGTCGTCTATTTTCGGCTGGTCGAAAAGATGACTGTTGCATAATTTCACACTTTCCACCACTTTGCTTTTAAAGAGCTGAATATCTTTCTCGTACCTACAAAGACACATGCAGAAGACATTAAATGGGCTCCCATCAGAACAGGCCACATGCACACCTTACATGCCCTGCCTGAAGTGCCTCACTATTGCTAATGTGTGTGAACTGCTCACGAATCCAGATCGTACTGATAGATGAAGAGGCTCCAGGCCCTCATTGACTTGCAGGGTATTTTTGTATCAAATGCAACCGATGCCTCCCAGATGGTGCACTCAGTCAGTGCCAGAGGCACAGCAATAGCTGTGTAAGCTTTCTTTAAACAAAGCTCACTCACAATAGGCTGCACAGCCTGACAGAGGGCATGACTGTCCCATCACGTCACCTTTTATCTCCCGCAAGCCAAACAACCATCAGCAAGGAAAACCTCTACATAACCCGGCAAACCGGCTAATTTGGATACATTTGCCTAGATAGCCAAATTTCAGCCGATACTGCCAATCAATATCCTGCCTCACTGCAATGGCCAAGCCGGTCGTGGACTTTTCTTCTCTCGGACAGCTTTTCAATTCCACACGCCCACCAGGACCCAGGGCTGAAGGCACAATCGGCACCCTGTTTCACCCCCGGCACATCCCAGGAAGGGCACCCCCGGCTGGCTGTCTGAGGAAGCCAGAAGATGCTGCAGAGACTCACAGGACTGCAGCTTCTGGGTTGAGCGGCTCCAGGGTCTGGATCTTGTAGAAGACCGTGCGTGCGTACATCAGCACCTGCCAGATGTGATTGTGGTTCCGCCTGCAGAGGAACACGAAGAACACAGCAAGGGATGAGCCGGGGAGAGGCGTTTCATGGGAGAAATAAGGGTATTGGTTTCCACACCACAGTGGAGTATCTTGTCCTAAACCTTTCTTGTGTAAAAACAAAAAAAAACACATGATCTTAGTTTCAAAGGCACTTCCACATTCCAAATGCCCTCTGGTTTGTGTTCACAGTTCAGTTCAATAATATTTATCATTGTACTAACACATGATGACAGCATCGGCTCCATACTGCCTGCATTCTTCAGGCCATATAAAAAATATAATAATCTTACATAATGTGTACATGATATTATAATATGGCAAACGCCCAACAAGATTTCCTGTTCTTGCTAAACTTCACACTGCTGATTAATTACAATTGTTGGTTTGCTGGAAAGAATGTAACTTACCATAAACATTCAACTTTGCCCTCCATTACTAAATAGTAATACTTATATCAGTGCAGGTCTGCCACTGAGAAAATAAAGGATTTCAGACAAGATCTTCGAAGTTGGCAATGTTGGGGATGCATAAATCAGGGAAGAAGTAGGGCAACTGACTGACCTCCACTTTGTGAAAGCTCTCTTCACGTCCAGCTCCCCTGAGACAGGATCCACTAAAGGATTAAAGACTGGAATATCGAAGACCACCCTCTGGAACAGACAGACAGGACAGGGTCGGAGAGGTGGTCACTCGACTGCACAGACATGCCCTTGAAGGGGAACTGCAGCCCCAGTTTCTCAGACCGGTTATTAACTCCCAGTTACAAAATAAATTCATTAACGATAAACATTTCACACATTTCGAATCCAGCACGAAATCATGAACTTTGTGAGAGGACGGCAAATCGCCATGTTGTCTCCAACTCGCATTCAATTCCCATGAATTGCGACGAGATGCAGCCCTTCCTGCTCACTAGTCACAATAATGACTAGATGTACAAATGTATAAATACAAGTTGTGCAGGAGACATTTCACCGCAGAAATGTTCCAATGTGATCCGCATGCAGTATTTGTAGGTAAAACCTTCTTGAAATCAAAAACAATATTTCTATTGGATTAAAAGAGATGTATTCACAAGCTGCTTGCTTACAATGTAATAGGGCCACAACACGTCACCAGAAGTTTTGTCGTCTAGTTCTGAATTGCAGAATATGCGCACACCTGGAAATTTAGTCTATTTTGTGATGTACACTGAAGGGTTTACACATTATTCTTAAAACCTAAATTTGACTTTTACTGTGGTTTAAAATGCACTCATCAATGCCGATTCTTTCCTATCCCGAAATATAAAAATAGCATTGCAGTTCCCCTTTAATTTTGAGCGATCAATTACAGAATCCTGCTTTGAATTTTCTTTCTCCATGGATATTCACTCCACGTGAAGGAGAAGCTTCTGCATGGATTATGGGGTACAGAGACCGAGGACCTCCATCAACTGTACAGTGCAGAACCGTTACATCACTTACAGGACAATCGCCATCGGGGTAGTTGTCTGGGATATACACCGTGAATTTGAAAACTCCGTCCTGGTACAGGCCATGCCTTATGAAAATAACTCCAAACCACACTGAAATAAAAAAAAGTTTGTTGTTTTTTAAAAACAAATAAAGCCATTTCTCTTTGCATGGTTATTAGAAAGAAATTAATATAAAAAGCTCTTACTCAATGCTGATCTGTAGGATGGCTGCACATATATCCCAGGGAGTTTCTGCTTTATCACCAGAGTGCTTCAGACCATGACAAGAAACAATGTGTTAGCGATCTACACCCCTAAACGCGACAGGTGCACACTTAACCGCGGACAGAGCCAATCAACACTTTGCTACAAAGTACACACGTGCTATAGAAACCACCAGGGTACACCGTCACCCTAAGAACTAGGAGTACAAAAGGACAGCAGCTGCAGTAACCCGAGCCATTCCCAACTTTAATCTGCGACTAAGTTTACAACCACAGATGTTCACGTGGGGCCAGAACAGCAGGCTTACAGACCTGATGATACCAAACAGCTAAACAGAGACAAATCCAGGGCTGTGTTCTGCCTGCCTGTTCAACAAACAGACCTGTGGATTTGTTCCAGCCAAACTCTGTTACACCACTGAACCCTTAATAATAGGATTCTTTTGAACATTTTTCAGCTCTTAGATATGTTAAGAGTCCCGCCTTTTTAACAACAGGAGGGTCTCGACACCCGGGAGCTTCACATTCGCGAATTCGCTTTGTCACAATGCTGTCGGGCTGAGGGGAGTCTTCTATGGAAGAGCAGTGTGGGGTGAAACCGAGCCGAAAGCTAACCGCAACTTTCAAATGACCTGCGCGACAGACTCGACGGGCGAGAGGAATCTAGCTGGTGAGTGAACCTCTGCCCAAGTACCTACTACCCAGCATCCAAATGTTAACGGGGTCTTGCTTCTGTACTGTAACAAACGCTCAGTGCTGCGTTGACAGAGGGGGGGAGAGATGACAGACAGGAGGCAACTTTACAGGATCTCGGACAGTTTTACTGCCTGTTTCATCACAGTGTGGTGTGATCATCACAGGACAGAGAGAGAAAGTTGAGGCTTCACACAGAAAAGTTTCTTTTAGCTGATTAGTATAGGGTTGTGATGACCGTTTCTTTTACTTGATCAATGATGTTCAATTAACTTAAAGCTGATGCACTAGAACTTTAATTATAATATGAAGGAGGAATACTTATCTTTTAACCATACAGACTATGCTTAATGTACCGCAGTTTAATGGTCTAGGGCTGGACTTGGCTCTTCCCAACGCTTTTATGCACCGAACTCTTGAGAAGGTCGAGTCCCTCCTGCACGTTATTTCACAAATAAAACCCCAAACTCCCGAGCTAAAAAACAAATGTGCAAATATTCCAAGCGGGCAACTTCTTAACTCCACTGAGGCTTCAAGGAGGCAATGAAGCTCGGCAGGGCGGAGACCCAGCAGGCGTGTGGCCCCCAGCTCCAAAGCACCATGACCCCGTGCTTCACCTGCCCTCAGGAGCCATTTCTGTGCCGCGTTCCCCCCCAGTTCACACCAGCGCACTTATCACAGGACCACGCGCACACACGCGCAGGGAGTTTAAACAGCCGTCGGACTTACAACTCTGCAAGCAGGGAGTACTCCAAATAGAAGGGCCCATAAGAAGCGTGCGTGCCATTGGAGGCCTGCGAGGACGCAGCGGGCGAGACGGGCTTGGTGATGGGCACGGCGTTTTTCGGAATGGAGGGCAGCTGCTTCTTCCCGTAGGGGGCTCGCGTGGGGCTGACTCTCTGCTCTACCGCACCACTCTTCTCCTCGCCCTCGGCCCTCTGTCAGGGGTTCAGAAAGGGTAGAGTCAGCGAGCTCTGCCAGAGGATTAAAGGGGGTTAACTCCACCTTCAAAAACGAAACAAAAAAAGGACCAGAGCTCCATTTCAGTATTTTAGTGATCTGTCATTTGATCAGCATGATGACCCCCCCCCCCCTAAGCTGGACCAGTGTCAGCTGGGAACCTTCTCAAACGATTGCTCCAGGGATGATGCTGTGGTTATGAGAAGCTTTATGGAGACTTTTAAAGAAAACAGGTAAATGCCTTCTTTCTGACCTGCATACTGGAAATACAACAGCTCAATAGGACTGAAAATTGTTCCACTTGCAACGATCAACTTCTTGCATTGAGTTTTCTTTAATAGTACTAAGTACACTCGCTCTTTTCCGATTTGCTGTTGCAATGTTTTTTTTGTGCTTTTTTAAATTTAATGGAGAATACCAAGTGTAAAAAAAACATCCTATGCTGTTTTCTTGTTCATAATTATAAATCTCATCAATACAAACAAAAAACAATGAGAGTCGACAGTTCCTTGGGTCTGACTGGCAGAATATACACTACAGTCTACGATCCCTTCCTAGAGACCCAAGACATCTGTTTCCCACACTCCGGAAAGGAAGAGGAAGGCTGGCCAGCTCCTTCTACAGCATGGGGACCCTGGGGTCCCCAGAGGGAGTCGATTTGGGATCAGCTCTTTTCCGCACAGCCTCCATGTTCTCACAGACACAGCCTGCAGTCAAAACTGTTCAACCAAACCAGACCAGACCTGGCAGATCAACAACTTTCCTCTGCATTTTTGGAAGGCATTCAGGACAGCAGGATCAGGCTGCAACACAGTGGAGTTCAACACTTTTTCCTCCTCTAGAAATTTAGCACGCAAGTAGATGCGTTGTATTCACACAACTCTATACTCTCAGTACCAGAGGATGACTGCTCCAGGCCCATCACAAACACACTCCAGACATGGCCTATACTTACCCACAAATATTTAAGGAGTGTCCCAAGAGAGAGCACTTTCAGGTGAATGCGACTGATATCCTTCTGTATACCTCTGGAATGACTCTGCCACTGAATTCTTGACTACTTCTGCTTAACGGCAGTTCTACAGTTATGATTCATCATCAGATATGACGTCTTTTGTCAGTGGATCACACTACTGCCCAAAAGAATATATTTTACAAGGTGGGGCTGACACTGCTTGAAAATAACTTGGCTCTACTTGTTCACAGAAACTGTTCTTATGGACTGACGCACTGCTAAATCACAATAGCTGGTGCAAAATCGGTGGCAGTCTGGGCAAGTCCTTTTTTTCTGTTGACAAAATTATTCCCAAGGCCTCTTGCTTTCCTGCAAGCTCTGATATTGTTTTGCTGTAATGTATTTGTATTGTTTGCGTGTTTATTAAAGCCTGTCAAGATTCCCTTAGGTTAAGAAAATACACTTTAATAAAAAGAACTTTGAGAATCTGTATCATTGCTTTAACTAAGCCCTTCAGAGTTCATCCATGCAACCACTACCTCAGGTGTAGTCACGAGACAGATTTATCAACAGAAACATATTTCCTTTCTTCTTTCTGGTCCCCCATATCAAGGACCTTTTATAGAACAGTGGGTTTAAATTTGTAAAAAGTCAGAATTTCTCTTAAGGGGCTGAAAAGATTTCAAACAGTAAGGAGTTTAAGCAAAGAAGCTCTCCAGCAACACTACTTTTAAAACAAAAGCCAACAACTGAAACCATAAATGGTGTACAGATGGAAGAAGACTGACATGAGCCTTCCAGTATTCATCATCACTTGTATATTCCAGGTTGGGAACATCTTCCCGATTATTACCGACTGCATTTTGTGCTGATGAGTGTCATTTTTGCAGACCCACGTTTTTTAAACCCTTTAGGCAGATCTGAATCAGGGAACCTGCATCCCAGTAAACTTGAGGTTTTTCAGGTAGAAAAATTGTACGGAGTGCCCTGACAATACAGGGTAGTGAAACTGTCCTAGCTCTTCTGTCATGCTCAGTTTCACATTCCCCGTCTTCTCCAAGGCTGTGAAATAGCTGCACTTCAGGTAAACAGGTGTGGCTCAGGCTGAGGAAGAAGATATCCTGTTTCTGGCTTTGAAAAATTCTGGACCTGCCGTGTTGACTTAAGCCAACAAACATCCCAAACTCTGCGATAACAATCCCTCACTATTTAAAGCATTAGAAGCTATGCATTCTTAAGCCATTATAAATATGCATGATTCCAGATGACCTAGATTCCTGCAATACCATATGATAAGGTTCACAGAGACATCTGTGGAATTCCTGTCATACTTGTGGAGGGAATGAGGACAAATTAAGAAGAGCAAACTAAAATACCCAAAAACGTGTAGAAGTTATGAAGACATTTGTGTTCCAGATTTTTGTGAGTTATTGGTTTAAGTAGCAGCTGATTTCACCCAAAACTACAGGATCTGTACCCTAAATTAACTTGGGGTTAGGGACCATCAATACCCTACTGGCATCTTCTGCGACAGCCAGAGACAAGGCGGGTTTTAAAGAAAAAGATTTAATCACCAGAAGCCCAGATGGCAGACAGGCCTTTGCTACAGGGCATTACAGTGAACAATGTGTGTAAACTCCTTGGACTCCCCTGATGAGACATCGAACGCAGGGGTGGGTGAAAGCAATGCTGCCGAAGCAGATGCTGATGGACACCTAGTCTCTGCAAGTCCTTCTCCAGATCGCGGTGGACTAACTCGAGCTGTCCTGAAGGCCCAGTGTCATCTTGCTTTTGTTACCCCCACTTGCTATTAGGTTGTCTAATTGTTTAACTGCATCACCGGAGTACTTAAAGCAGTACTGCGATTTATTTTTATTACCTTTCGTGAATTGAATGTTTTATTTAATCAGTGGTAAAGAAGCCTCTTAGTCTAATGTACACAATAATTAGGTTCATTGCTAAACTGGCTCACACCGAGTCTGGAGTGTTGGACCGTGATCAGACACTGCAATCCAGGAGCTGTACTGCAGCAGCAGCAGCACCGCCTTGCCTACCTTGCGTCCAGTACTTGCAGACATGCTCCAGAAGGGATTCATCACACGGGGGGGATGAGTACGGCTTCTCTACTACCCCCGCTGCTGCCTCACATCCGCCGGGAGCTCGCTATCTGAGCCCAGTCCTCCGCGGAGCGCCACGCACCTCCAGCGCGGCGGCAGCTGCAGAGACGCCGGCGAGCCGATCTGTTGACAAGCCCAGAGACTCCCGGTGTCCCGTCTGAGTGCTTGTCAGTATTCACCCTGCCTCGCCGACAGCACCAAGGGGTAGAGGGAGGCAGTAATTAATGAGGAGACGGAAGCTGGAGCACCCGACAGAAATGTCATTAAATGCGTTTCATGAATCTGGAAAGCCTTAATTTGTCCAACTAGTCACAATATCTCAACTATTACCTAGGGGCTGTTCTGCAGTAGGCCTTGTCAACACGGAGTGGAAATGCGCAGGTAAGGTATAAACAGGGATCAAAGTTCATTAGACACACGTGTACCCAGATCACACTCGGAGCAAACATTTAACCTTCGTGTGGTTAGCGATTATGATCATCCACACAGACGCTTACTGGAGCCTCCCAGATCATAGGCTCTGGGTTAAAACAAAAGTGTTGTAACTGCAAAAATGAACCCATCATCTTATTGCATCCCCGCATAATTACAAACCTGAGACGCCGGGGCAAAGCAACCGCATTTTAAATGTCTCGCTATTTAAAAACAAATCCTGAACACCTGGCGCACACAACACTCTACGATTTGATTTTTTTTTTCTTTTTAGAAGCGGTGGAGTGCGAAGTGAGAGATAAAATATACGAAATGAGCAGGAAACATCAAGGCATTTTCCAGCATCCATATCCGCTGTCAGTCCTAGTCAGCAACATTCCTGCGTTGTTTGCAGTAATCACAGAAAACGGACACATAAATCCTACAGAAAATTGAGAATTTATAGATCTACTATACCAATTTCTGTTACAATGTTATAGTTATACGTTAACACGATCTGAATATTCATGCATTCACATACTAAGAAAACCAAATATTAGACTATCTAGTACTAAACACCCCAGACAGGTGAACAGCACCCTCAGGGTTAAAACCGTGCAGTGCAAACCAAAAACAAATCAAATGGAAAAGGTCAGACATGTCTAGGCAAAAAAAAAAGAAGACAGTTGTTAACAAACACCGAAGCCCACCTCAGTATCGTCACAGCCCTAAATCCCCGATTTCGCCCAAACTAGAAGTGCTTTCTCCCTGCCAGACACAAATACCGCAACAAGCTCTCAACCGACCTTGACTGCACAGCACCGCCCACATCCCCACACGAGAAGAATAATTGGCTGATATAAGACACATGGGCGAGCGCTGTTATCCGTGATTCGCTAAGGAGGCATCAATCAGAAATCGCCGCTGCCATTAGGGGTGGTCGAGTTTAAATACTATTTGGTCGGAAGAGGTTTAGCCTGGCTGACCCTCCGGATTTAGAATCAAACCACCCCAGTTCAGACAAAAATATAATGCGTTGTGCAGCACGGTTATTTTCACAAGAACGCCCTTCTAAGAACCAAAATGCAAATACTTGAATCTCCTCGGTTCCCATGTAAAGCGACACGAACACAGTATCCGAAACGTTGTTTTTTTTAAATCCCCAGTGAATGGTCTTACCTTCTATTCCGCAGTTAAAGTAATCCTCACTGCGTTAGACCTAGAAGATGCTGCATATAAAACGAACGTGGAAGTGTTGCTTTCTTCTTAATGGCGTATAAAATCACTCTAGTTTTTAATCTTCTGTGGCTTGTCGGACATCTTTAACCCCACCAACAAGAATCCTCCCCTCAAAACCTGAATAACAGCAGAGGAATAACACGGGCTGGCTTTATATGACGGAACCGCATTCAAAATTCAATATGGCTTCTTCGCTTCGGCAGTTCACGGCATGATTCGTGCATTTCCGGCGTCTTCTGGGTTGAACACTCATCGAGCTCATATTAAATAATGCTATATGCACAATGTTCCATCACTGTAAATCACAATTACCTTAATTTCCTGTTTTAAGACTGATTTGTGTTCTGTTTTATTGTATAGTATTCTCTGAAACGATTTGAGGATGTTTGAATTGAAAGGTGCTATATTAACAGTGTTCTTGCTTGTCTTTTTTTCATCACACGATAATGTTAAGGAGGTACGCCCCAAGCTGCCATCTTTCCAAGGCTCATCAAGTTTCACACTCCTCTCACAACAATTGAGAAAGAGCCGTCATAAATCACTTTTTCAAATCAAGCTCACATTCCCTGCTGGTTTTCTCTACAGGTCACTAGCATCTACAGACAGGAAACTCTCGTGATGCTTATTCTTCCAGGGTTTTTTTGTCGGTACATTAGTCTTTATCCTTTGTATTAACAGTAGGGTTTTCCAGGTCTTCTTAATGGCACAGAAGAATATAATATAGCTTCTATGGTCTAAGGTTACAGTAAAGGTAGTACACAAGTGAATAACTGAAATGATTACCCATCTCATCCACCTCTGATGTGCAACACCCACCTGGGAGATGTGTGGCAGACATTCTGCGTCATTGGCGAAGAAATTCATCCACAAGTGGAATTAAGGAGGATCTGTAGGAAGGACCGACTGTACAAGCCTGGAGTGGGCTCTAGCCCGGACACCAGGGTTAATACCCTGGTTCTTTCAAAACTGTGCTGTGGAATTTGTAATGGCAAAGTCGGCAGAACTTGAAATGCTTTGGGTTACTGACTCAGCCATAGCACAGCACCTCGTACTCCTGCAGCATTGTCCCTGGTCACCATGCTGACACACGGGTTCAGAAACTCTGGGCAAGAGGAAAAGGCGCCACCTACTGGTCCACTAACACCGCTAGCAGCAACAACCTGCCTTTCTTTAGAGGTCTCTAATCCCAGTACTGTCCAGGCCTATCTTGCTCAGCTTTTAATGTCTGGCTATAAGATGGTAGTACTTAATAAGTATTAAAATTAGTGTACTATTCAAATACTTTTATGGAAATTTTTATTCTTTTAGTTTAGTGTACAATTTTGTTCTCATCTGTAGTATACTTGATGACTTTTATACAAAAAGGTATTTTTTTAACAAAGTAGCTGATTGATAGTGGTATAACCTACAAGTACTTGAGTCTTTTTTGCTGCAAAGTCTTGGCGTGAGATAGCAAGGTCTCTCTCCCCTCGCAGCAATAAAAAGAGCTAGTAAAAAGACATATCGCTTTAACTAGCATATTTATGAGTACAGTGTGTAAGATCAGATGCCTGGAATGAGTTTGATGTTTCAGCTCTGGTCAGAACATTAAGGAAAGGTCATTTTCAGGTCCACCAATAAGTTTGTTGGCTGCCGCAGGTACTTTTCTGCAGCTAAGCTCTTTAGTAGGGTAGTATGATAAATGATCGATTTCATGACAATTAAACTCTGTAATTATTCTGAATAAATCTAATTTAACGCTTCGCTGCTGAAATTAATTGGAGAAAATGACATTGTCCAGCTTTGAATGTAGAACCTAATTATCGACTTCATTATTACTCTATTATGTGAATCTATTTTGTTTCCACTACACTTCATTGATGAAGACAATTTGCATCTAGTTCTTATTGTTACACATTTGTAAATATCTCTAAATATGACATCACAAGGTCACTGACTTCATCTGAAAATATCAATGAGAACATCTAATCAGTCCACTTTTAGAAATATTTAAATACATTTTATTAACAAAAGCAGGATTTTGAGTGAAAACAGATAATTTGTAATACTATGTACGACAATTATACACATTGTATAGCTAACAACAATTTGTTGAAGTTGATATTAACAATCCCACAAAAAAAGGTCAGATTTTTTTCCCTCGGCCACATTAAATCCCATTATCATGAACATTATTTTAGACACGCAAAGACAATTATAAAAAGAGTTAAAGCTTAATCTTCATAATGACTAGCCGTTATTTAAAAAATAATAGTATTGCAGTGTCCAACTTTTAATATGCTGCTTCTTAATGAATCTGTTTAATATTCATTGGTAATTTCCTTGCGTTTGTCTCATTCCCTAGTGATAATGCCGTACAGGCTGTTTTAAAGAGGCAGGCGTCGTCTTGAGGCTGTGAGACAGGAGAGTGTTGCATTCGTTTAGAGGGATCAGGCTAAACTTCACAAGCCTATCAACTCTTCACCTGTCTACTCCTGGATGTTACAGCAATCAGTCAGAGATCAATTCATCATCACCTGCCTCTGCCCTTGTTGTATGTAAGCAGGTGTGTTCATAGTGATTACAGTTACTCCAGTGATATTTGTCCTCTGTCTTTTTTGTCCTCTGTTTTTCTTTTCATGTGATTAAATCCTCTATCTTAATCTCCACTACCTATTCACAGCTTTAGGCTAAAAATACAACTGTAGACCTCTGTTTGATCACAGCGAATCTGTAAATCCATACATGATGATGATCTTACCGTTCGTTTCTACTAATGCGGAACAAATAGAGAATAATTTGGCACTGTCATGTAAAACGGAAGCAGACACACACCTGAAGAAGGCTTCACAGCCTTCTGTCTTTTGACATTTCAATGTGGAATTGATCTCTATGTGTTCCTTTACAGCTCACATGCTGATGCAGGTCTCTGCTCAGATCTCAGTCTCCTCAGGTGCTCTGACTCCAGTTCTGCCAGCTCTAGGCTAGTTTTCTGGGGGCATTTTATTTGCCAAAACCCCAGTCAGCCTATAGGAATCAGAGAGTAATGAGGTGGAGGTGGAGGGTAGGATCAGGGTGAGTATTAGAAGTGGCATTCTTCAGTTTATTTATTTTCACCATTGGGTATATTTAAAAAAATCTACAAGGACACAATTCCACAACTGTGTAAAAGAAGCTAAATGGACCCAGTGACGCCTATTGTTTTGAAAACTTTATCAAGAATAATTTCAATACTCTTTTGAGAGGCTTAATCCTCTTTCCACGCACAGAAACTGGCATGATCCCACCAGTGCCTTCATAAACATATCAAATACTCCTGCTCCTATAATTCCAGTATATTTGGTTTTTTTGGAGGGTGGTGATATAGCTTTGTTTTAAAAAATCAAGGTGAAAAAATCAATTGTGTTATGAAAATGTTTGTGAAATGTTTTTCAACAAAACCGAGATTCGTATGGAATTTGTTTGTGCCAGTTAGCATCACACAAACAAGCGCAGTGCCGCCTCAGACATTTATATAGCGCCTGACACAGTGTGCTCTCTCTCGCTCCAGGGAACTCTCCCAGCAGCCCTGTCGTACCAGCCTCTTACCACACAGTGAGCAAACACACAACCAAACGCGCCCATCAAACAGCACGACAACATAAATAATGACCACGGGCTCTTAAACTTTAATTCAGGCAGAGAGGTGTCCCTTAGTTATGTCAGCCCGCTGCTTTGAAAACCTTGAGCCCCCTAATTCGACTCCTAGAGTGAGGTTTAAATGACAGTTAAAAATTGCACGTGGCAGCTCCCAATGAAATTTGTCTTGACAGGAAAGACATAAAACTAAGAACGAATGACTCTGCGTCCTGGTAATAAGTAATAACAATGTTAGCCTGCATAGGAAGAGCAGAGGCTGGATTCAAATGCAATATTAATTTTAGGAATATGAGCGACTAGGGAGAGAAGGCAGCAAAAAAAAAAAAACAACAAATCCTTCATATAGCAATAGTCTTTTCTTATCCCCCAGGCTACAGCCTCCCTTACACCCCAATACAGCAATTATGTGCTATAATGACTGCTGTGCAAATAAGCCAAGAGATTTTATTAAACCAAATGAGAGAATCATCTGTGTATTATTGCTGCTTGATTGACAGTGACAAGTGTTGGGCAGGCACAGATGTGAATGTGATGAATAAGCTCTCAGCAAAGCTCTTGATAATGTTACTCCTGATAAAGTTGCCCGGCAAACCTCGCTGAGTAAATAAAGGGGAAGGAACTCAACGCATATTAATTTCCATTGTCAGGAAGCTTCAGCGCTGACGGTAAATGGGAGTTCAGGAGACAGAGGGGGTGTGCTTGTTGGGGGGGGGAGTTTGAGGAGAACGGAAAGGCTCCCTGCTTGGCATTTTATATGAATAATAATAAAAAAATGCACTTATCGTGTGCATAGATCTT